CAGAATGGCTGGAAGGGACTGGAGGTGGGTATATTCATTCCTCCAAATCAGTTAGGCACTGATAAAACCACAACAGATTAGGCTCTGGTTAAATAACTTCTCTTAAGGACAGGCCTTGCTAATAATGATAAAGTGCTGTGGCATACTTTAAAATGATTACCTTTTCCCCTTCCCCACTGCTGGACACATTAAGAGATTTTTCTCTGATCTTCACTATTGACCTGATAGAGCTCCTAGAGGTACAACTCACATGAGTATGAGGGTCCCAATATGACTGGGTCCCCCTGAAGTTTTTAACTCTCAGACTTGCCTACCCTGAGCCTCTAGCAATTTCTCAATTATAGTTCAGGTTTTCCTACCTTGGTACTGGTTCCCACAAAGATTTCTACTCCAGTAAGTTGGAATTCTTTGTATCTGCCTATCTGTCTCACCAGTTTTGAGGGCAGCAATTTGCCCTGTGAACTCACTTCTCTGTGAGAGACCTAAGAGGAGTTGTTGATTTTTCAATGTTCAGCTTTTGACTTATTAGGATGGAGTGATGACTTCCTAGCTCCAGAAATGCCAGACCAGAAACTGGGAATGCCCCATTTAAGTATATATGTACATCTCTAATATTCTAAGAGCTTATGTCTACCAAGAAGAAAAGCTGATATGTATCAGACATAGCATTTAATAAAACTCTGATTTTTAAAGTAATACTTTTCAAAGATCTCCAGATTATTATCCATTCTGTTAATGTAGAATTAAGTGGGATAGAAGTATTTGACAGAAACCGGGCATGGTGGCTCGAACTGTGGTCCCACTTACTCAGGAGGCTGAGGTGGAAGGATCACTTGAGCACAGGAGTTTGAGGCTGCAGTGAGCTATGAGTGCACTTCTGCACTCCAGCCTGGGCATCAGAGTGAGACCACATCTCTGAAAAATATAAATTTGACGGGCCGGGCATGGTGGTTCATGCCAGTAATCGTAATACTTTGGGAGGCCGAAGTGGGTGGATCACCTAAGGTCAAAAGTTCGAGACCAGCCTGATCAACATGGTGAAACCCCATCTCTACTAAAAATACAAAAAATTAGCCAGGCATGCTTATAATCTCAGCTACTTGGGAGGCTGAGGCAGGAGAATCACTTGAACCCAGGAGGCAGAGGTTGCAGAGCTGAGATAGTGCCATTGCACTCTCTAGCCGGGGCAACAAGAGCAAAACTCTGTCTCAAAAAAGAAAAAAAATTATTTGACAGATGGCTGGGCACAGTGGCTAAGACTTGTAATCTCAGTGCTTTCAGAGGCCAAGACAGAAGGGCTTAAGGCCAGGAGTTTGAGACCAGCCTGAACAACATAGTACAACCCTGTCGCTACAAAAAATTTTTAATGGGCCAGGCATTGTGGTACACACCTGTAGTTCTAGTTATTCAGGAGGCTGAGGCAGGAGGATTGCTTGAGCCCAGGAGTTTGAGGTTACAGTGAGCTATGATCATCCTACTTTACTCTAGCCTGAGTAACAGAGACCTTGTTTCTTAAAAAAATAGAATTAATTTGGAAGCCTCACTCTTAATTAAATAATTTTTTTCTCCGTTTTTAAGAATCACTTTTCTAGCTCTTCAAAAAACTCTGGTTTGCCTTTTCCCTGCATCTTTAAAACATTAGCTGTTTAGCTTGAACCTGGCTTGAAAATAGTCTCAACTTTATCTTCCATTTTATGGGTCAGCCTACTGCAGTTAGCCTTCTGCCCCATCACTCTATCAGAATTGTTCTGGGTAAATTTATAAGTAACATTTATGCCGCCAGGTCCAGTCAGTTCTTTTTAAATTTCTTCACATGGCTACTAGAGTGCCACCTTTTCCAGAATTTTCTTCCTCGCTTGGGGCTACTTCTCAATCTCCTTTCCTGACTTAACTTGTCTGCCTCTAACCTTTAGAAATTGGCATTTCTTAGTGTTTAGACCAAGACCCTGTTTTCCTTCCATTTTCCTTCAATAATTTCATTCATTCCTGTAGCTTTAAATAATCTATAGACCCATTCTCAAATTTGTATCTCCCTTTCTTCTTTTTCCCCTCTGGGGGGTTTTTCTATAGCCCAGAAAAGCATGTCTCAAAGAATAGAAAATGTCGCTGGGCACAGTGGCTCATGCCTGTAATCCCAGCACTTTTGGAGGTGGAGCAGGCAGACCGCTTGAACTCAAAGTTTAAGACAAGCCTGGGCAACATGGTGATACCCCATCTCCACCAAAAGAAAAACATTAGCTGAGTGTGCTGGCATATGCATGTGGTCCCAGCTACTCAGGGGGCTCAGATGGGAGGATCACCTCAGCCACGGAGTGAATGCTGCAGTGTGCCATGATTGTACCACTGTACTCCAGCCTGAGTGGACAGAGTGAGACCCTGTCTCCAAAAAAAAAACGAAAGAAAATACAAAAAATTAATGGTGGTGAGATTATAAGTCTTTATCGAAAATATTTACATGGTGACCTCATTGTGATTTTCTTCTTTGACTTTCTATAGATTTTCTACAGGACTTTGAAATATACAGTGTTCTTAAATATTTAACCCCATTTTGATACTCTCAACAACCAACCTTGAACTCCTTGAGTTTGGACTTCCAGTAACTGGAAGTCACCCCTCCATGTCAGGTGTCTAGTACTGTCTTTGTGCTGAACCATTCCATCCCATTTGAAGCAGACCATTTAAACCTTTGTATATTTCCCTGTGCTCTGGCTAATAATAGGCAGTTATTTATAGTGTCAGTTTTGATCTTATAGGTGGATTTGACATGGAAGTGAAAGGTTGGGGTGGAGAAGATGTTCATCTTTATCGAAAATATTTACATGGTGACCTCATTGTGATTCGGACTCCAGTTCCTGGTCTTTTCCACCTCTGGCATGAAAAGCGCTGTGCTGATGAGCTGACCCCCGAGCAGTACCGCATGTGCATCCAGTCTAAAGCCATGAATGAGGCCTCTCACTCCCACCTGGGAATGCTGGTCTTCAGGGAGGAAATAGAGACACATCTTCGTAAACAGGCATACAGGACAAACAGTGAAGTTCTTGGTTGAAATCATAATTAATGCGTTATCGAGTGAACCACAAACCAGCACTATTTATTTAGCCTTAATTCCACTTCCAAATACAGTGCCTCTTTTGGAGAAGACATGTTTATTTTTCATGTTGTTTCTGACATTACTTTAGCAGTTCAACTTGATGTGGGAAGAAAAAAACAAATGTTTCAACACAAAGTCTCTGTTTTGTGAGAATACTGCACTATGAAATAATTGACAAATTGAAATCTGGTATTTGTCCCAAAAGTTGTTTTGAGTTAGTTCTACCTGATGCCCATGTTCTGGTTGCATGTAGGATTACATGGTTGGATCTGACTGGATCTGGGTGGAGAGGATGGAATGTGCCAGGCTGCTGGTGGGTGGAGAACACATTCTTACGGAAGAGATGGAGTGTTACGGGCATAGTGTGTGGACAGGTATCTTCACTTGCCCGCCCCTAAGTCAGCCTGCTTGATTTAATAGCTCGAAGAAGCCTTTTCCACTGAAGTAGAGGATAATAACTGACACAACTGAAATCCTCAATCAAAAAAAAGGTAGAAATAAAAACTCCTTAATTTACTGTTGCTTTGCCCCTTAAAAGTCTTTTTAAGCAAATGGGTAATAGTAGAAAGTATGTTAGAATCTATGGCTTGATTAAAAATACAACGTTATTACATTATCATAGGACAGAAAATTACATAAAATTTGAGCATGATATTACATTATCATCATGTTCAAGATTAGTAGTCAGAGTTGCTGTAGAGTATTTTGAACAAACAAAATAACATGGAAACATTTTTAACAGAGCATTTAATTATGCTGGAGTACAGGATCCTAGGTGTGTCTGGGAACATTAGTTTATGTGAGCCAGCTACATCAGGATCTTCCCATGGTGGTTCAGAATAGATGAACATAGCATTGTTTGTTTTTGCTTTCGATTTTCTTATTTGGCATGGAAACATATGTATTTACTATCCTTTTTTCTAATAATATATGCTACATTTGTATTTGCGTTACTGTAATACTTTTGAGTTGAAAAAGAGTTTCATTGGGGGAGAAAAAGCAAACGGTATAAAACAAAATCACTCTGGTTTGAGAAAAGGGAGGAAGAGGGGAAGATAGTCTGAATGGAAATCTGAAATATGGAATGTTTTAGAGAAATATATCACTTGCATATAGAATGTTTTAATTGAGTCAGGTATAAATTAATGAGACAAAGTGAAGAAGAAATTATATTCAGACAGGACTGCACTACATTATTTGTCACCCATGGATCTGTTACCATGAGGTCAATTCCTAGCATGCATAAATTTTTTAACCTTCGGCTTTTAAAAGAGACCTGTGTTGAATTCTATTAGTACGTAAAGCCCTGAAAATTCACTGAAGAAAAATCATTACTCTTTTTCTCAGTAAATCATATCATCTGAAATATTACAAATTTCAAATTTCTAGGGTGCTATATTAATTCAGTATTATAATAATTCACCTAATCTTACAAGTTTTAAGGTGTGGTAGTGTGTAGAAATTTTTTAAAAGATGTGTGAAATGTTCTCTGAAAAATAATTCAGGCCACTGTCTCCTTTTATATATTAATACAATTATTTATTATAAAGACCAGTGAATTATATTTAAAGTGAGAGAACTTAATTATTTGCAAAGGTAAGTTACAGCTTGTTTTTTGAGAGAATCAAATGAGTTTACTTTTCTCCTGTTGTTTTTAAACTAGCTTTTAAAGATGAAAGCTAAGCAATGGAAATGTTACTATGTTTTTGACATTTATTAAACGGTACCAATAAAGTATTTTATTACCAAAAGTTATATGAAAATGTGATAAATTATTCCTATTGTAAAATATCATAAAGACAGAAGATTACATATAACATGTAATTGTGTACTTTAAAAAATAAAGCACACACCAGTGCAGCAGCTGCTCAGATTAAAATACAGGGTATTACCTGGGACAGGCCCCTTGTGCCCCTTCTTAATCACCTGCACTCACCCTCTCCATAACAGTCACACTCTGATTTTTGCGATAGTTTTTATTTGTTTTCTTCATAGTTTTCCCAGTTATGTGTCTCCCAGTAGACTATTTTGCCTGGTTTTGAATTTATATACATTATTATTTCATTATGTATTCTCTTTCATTCAGTGTCTTTAAGGTTCACTCATGTTATTCTCAAAATTAGTTTATTATTGAATAGTATTCCAGTTGTACTGTAGGGAGGGGAAAAATTCCCTCCCATCTTCTTAGGGTCCCAGCTGGGCTTGAAGATTAAATTGACATAGGATAGATTAACAAGAAAAAAGCATATAAATTTATGTAATACAAATTTTATGTGGTGCAGGAGCCCTAATAAAGAAAAAACCAAAAGAAGCAGAGTCAGTTACTTACATACTGAATTGGACATAGACTAGTAAACTGTGAAAATGTGACTATATTATGTGGGAAGCTTAAAAAAATACTTATTCTAACAAGGTTTGTACAATATTCTCCTGGTCTCAAACTTCTCGTCATTGAAGATAGGGATATTTGTTGCCTTTCCTTCTAGTATAGAGTGTCTTTCACAGTGGAATCCGTCTCCTGCTCTTAAGAAACAGCACAAAGGTCACTCACCTTTTTGCCCCTGCTGTTTTTCACATGTCTTCAATTTAAATAGCATGGCAGAATGGCATATTTTAACCGCTTCAGTATGAATGTACTACTATACTTATTCTACTGTTAGTAGATACTTTGGTTGTTTCCAGGTTGTTTTTATATTCTCTTGTTGGTAACTGTTTTGGTTGTGTACAGATTTTTGTGGTTTGCTGTTGCTATTACAAGCCTGTTGTCGTGAACATCACTGTATATCTCTTGTAAGTGTGCCAGAATTTCTCCAGGAGTAAAAATGCTGAGCCATCAATTGTGTGCATGTTTAACTTTCCAGAGAGGACCACCTTCCAGCACTGGGTGAGTTCATTATGCATCCTTGACAGTGCTTAATTTTGTCAGGCTTATTCTTGCCAATTTGGTGGGCTGTAGGCGTGAACTGTAGTTAGGATTTATCTCCAATCTTTTTGTCCATTTTTACCAGTTCATAGGGATTCTTTACATATTCTGGATGCCAATTCTTGTTGGTTTAATGTTTGCAGATATCTTCTCTCATTAAGACCCAATGGGGTTTGTCTTTTCCCAATTTTGATGGTACTTTTTGAGGAATAAAAATTAACTTTATTGTAACTAATCTTTCTTCCTTATGATTTCTACTTTCTTCAATAGAATTTATTTTTTAGAGCAGTTTTAGGTTCACAGAGAAACTGAACAGAAGGTACGTGGAGTTTCCTTTAACACCCCCTGTCCACACACATGCACAGTTTTTTCTGTTATCTACATCTGCCATAATAGTAGTACATTTGTTACAACCAGTGAACCCACATTGACACAAAATAATCACCTAAAGTCCATAGTTTACATTAGGGTTCGCTCTTGGTTTTCTATATGCTATGGGTTTAGACAAATGTATAATGTTACAGTATGATACAGAACAGTCTCAATGCCCCAAAAATCCTCTAGGCTGACTACTCGTCTCTCTCTACCATCTAACCCCTAGCAACCACTGATGTTTTTACTGTTTCCATAGTTTTGCTTTTTCCAGAATGTCATATAGTTGGAATCATACAGTATGTAGCCTTTTCAGATTGGCTTCTTGGACTTAGTAATATGAATTTAAGCTTCTTCCACGCCTTTTTATGGCTTGAGAGCTCATTTCTTTTTAGTACGAAATAATATTTCGTTGTCTAAACATAACCAAAGTTTACCCAATCACCTATGAAGGGGATCTTGGTTGCTTCCAAATTTTGGCAATTATTAATAAAACTGCAGTAAACATCTTTGTGCAGGTTTTTGTGTGGACATGTTTTCAACCTTGGAATGAATAACAAGGAACACAATTGCTGGATCATATGGTAAGAGAATGTTTAGCTTAGCTTTGTAGGAAGCTGCCAAACTGTCTTCCAGTGTGACTGTACCATTTTGCATTCCCACCAGAAGTGAATGAGATAAATTGAGTTAATAGATTTTCTCAAGTGCCCTTGCATTATTAGGACAAATTCCAGTCAGTCATGTGTTATATTTACTTTACATTGGTGGTTTTGGTTTGCATACATATATACACACAGGTATTCACATTTACATATCTCATAAGTATTCGTGTCGGGGGTGTGGGTATGTATATACTTCAGGTGTTTTTAATATGTGTTCATGAATGAGCTTGCCAATGACTTCCTTTCTCTTCCTTGTTGGGCATTTTTGTTTATTTGTTTGTTGTTTTAATTAACAGGATCTTGCTCTGTCTCCAAGGCTGGAGTGCAGTGGGGTAGTCATGGCTCATTACAACCTCAACCTCCTGGGCTTAAGTGATCCTCCCACCTCAGCCTCCCAAGTAGCTGGGACCACAGGCACGCCCCACTGCATCTAACTCATTTTTTTGTTGTTGTTGTTTGTGTGTGTGTGTAGATACAGGGTCTTGATTTGTTGTCCAGGCTGTTCTTGAGCTCCTGATTTCAAGTGATCTTCTTGCCTTGGCCTCTGAAAGTGCAGAAATTACAGGCATAAGCTACCATGCCTGGCCTTCATTGGGCTTTTCTGTTGAGCTTATACTAGCTTATAAACTAAGTTATAGGTGTTCCTTCTTACTCTGTTTCTAGAAAAGTTTTATAAAACTGGAATTAATTTCTTCCTTGAATATTTGGAACTGCCTGGAAGAACTGCCTGAAAGCCACTTGGGCATGAACTTTTCTATCTGGGAAGATTTTTGATCAGTTGTTCAATTTATTTAATAATTATAGGACTATTCAGACTCTTATTTTTTCTAGAGTAAGCTTTCATTGAGTTATTTTGGGTAAATTATAATTTTCTAGGAATTTATACTGATAAATTTGAAAATTCAGATGAAATCAGTATCTTCCTGTTATCTGTGTGATACATATAAGATTTATAGTAATATCTTTTTTTCTCATTCCTGATAGTAATATGCTTTCCATTTTTTCTTGATCAGCTTTGCCAGGAGCAGACAGATTTTTTTCAGTCCTTTTAAATAACTAAACCTTACCAGCCATGTTTGAGAGATCAGTTGCTTTACATCCTCCCCAACACAGTATTTCCAGTGTTTTGAGTTTAAACTCTTTAATTATAATTTCTAATGGAGATGTACAGTTCTTATTTTCATTTTAGTTTATAATCAGGGAATGATGTCAAGTACCTTCTCATATGCTTATTGGCCATTTGGTTATCTTCTTTTGTGAAATGCCTGTTGAAGTTTTTCTGCCTTCTTTTAAAAAAATTAGTTTGATTTTTTTTTTTTTTTAGTTGATTTGTGGGAGTTACTTCTGTATTCCGAATTTGAGTCGTTTGTCAGATTTACATATTATACATACCTTCCCCTAGCAACAGTCTCTTTCACTGTGTTAATGGTATGTGTCAGTAAACAGTTCTTAATTTCAATAAAAACCAGTTTTCTTTTATGGCTAGTGATTTTGCTGTCCAATTTAAGAAACCTTTCCTACTCCAGAATTTTTTAAATTCTTTTTTTGGACACTTCATTGCCTTGCCTTTCATATTTAGGTTTGTGGTGCATCTGGAAATCGTTTTGTGCATGGGTTTCAGTAAGAGTCAAGATCCATCCTTTAGGCTTTCTTTTAGGGGAAGGTCTGTGGATAGCAAACTCCATTTAGTTTGTCTGTAAACATCTTTATTATCTCTCATTTAATAAATAGTTCTAAAAAGTAGAAAATTCTAAATTGGCTTAGCACATTGAAGTTACTATTCCACTGTCTCCTGGCTTCAGTTATTTCTGCTGTGAATGATCAGTGTAACAGCCGTCATTCTTTGAAAGCAGTCTACTCTCTCCTCTGTTGTTTGTCACTATGATACATCTGTATGTGGGTTTATTTTTTTCTGGTCCTGCTTGAGATTCTTTGGGCTCCTTGGATTATTACTCTGAAAAATTCTCAGCTGTTAGATTTTTAAAAATGATTTCTGCCTCATTCTCTCTTTGCTTCTCTAACCCTGATAACATGTTAAAACCGTTGTATCCTCCATGTCTCAACCTGTTTCTTGTTTTCCAGTGCTTTATTCTCTTTGTGTTAGATTCTGGTAATTTCTTCAGACTTATGATCAAACAGATTTAGAAAAGAACCGAATAGAGCATCTAGAAATGAAAACTATAATAATTGAGTTTTTTAAATCCAACAGATGGGTTGAACAAAATTAGACACAGCTAAGGAGAGATTTTTTTTTTAAACTGGAATATAGGTCAGAACGTTTGTTTCTGCTAGATGCTTAGGGGCAGTACCAGTTCAGGGCCAGTTCAAAGAATTCTCAGCCTAAAGTTTGTGTTGGACCCGTGTTGATTTGTGCTACAAAATTTTGTGAAGCTCACTGATTCATTGTTATCAATTACCAGGGTAAAATTTCCCTGCCTTCATTCAGTGGGGAGATTAAAATCAGGCAGCTTTCCTTAGCTCCTTGGGTGGGGTTTGGGTGGAGCACCTTATTTCAAGCTCTTGCTGCACTGAGAGGTGGCTCTTTGGGATGCCGGCTTTATGGGCTGGGGTCTCCTATTTGATTCTTCATCTTCAGGCAGGCCCTGGATGTTTTTCTCTACCCCTCAGAACTTGAAAACAGAAGCTCCTCATGGTCCTTGCCCTCAGGGCAAAGCAGGCTCCAGAGCTCCCTGACTTCTCTGGCTCCCTGCCTTCACTTGGATTTTTAAATTTTGTACAACTTTATCTGTTGTTTTCAGTGGACACACATACTTCATCTCTCACAGTGCCAGAAATGGACAGGTGTACAATTTACTTTCTTAAACTCTTCCCTGCACTGTTGCTGAACCACTGCAGAGCTGCACCTGAGCGTCTGCACCTGAGCATCCTGGTGCTGTGGGGTAGATGCTTGCCGGGTGTTCGGCAGCCCCTTACCTTCCTCACAGTGTCCTGGTTTCCTTGTTGGGGATAAAGATTGAAACTGTGTTAACATGTTCAGTTGATCTAAACTGGCCTGCAGATAGGTTCTAAGTTTTCCCTGTAGAAGTTCTGAATCCAAATTTGTGGGAATTCTTTCCCTTTTATATTTCTGTGTCGGTTGAACAGTGACTGTGGTGAATGCTAATATGCTTCATATTGACCAGGACCTCAGGTGTTCCTTTGAGAAGGGGACTTAGAAGCCTTTGTTTCACTTTTCCCAAAGTTGCTATGACCTTTTGCAGAAGTGCTGTTTGTCATCCCCAGCACCAGGGCCAGTCCACTGTGAGCACCAACTGGGCTGACATGAACCAGGCGTCTGCGCTGTCTGCTACCACAGCCCTGCGAGGGAGGCCCAATTAGATGAGAACATGGAGGCTGTAAGGTAAACAGCTTGTCCAAGCTTCTCCAGCTGGGGGCTGGAGACCAGCACTCATTCCAGGTGCCCCAGCTCCTTGCTCCCACCCTGCTGCCTTGCACCTCCCTGAGGAGAAGGGCCTATGTTCTCATACGGGCATGATAGATGTGTGTCACAAGCAATGTGTGTTACATAAGTCTCCATGGCTTAGTACAGATCCTTAGATTATCATTCTGCCACACTGACATCCATTTGTTCCTGAAACGTGTTTGAGGGGTGACAATCAGCCATCACACAGGGATGTGCTAGTCACAAGGCACACAGATCGTCACCCACTGAGTGCTTCCTGCACATGCTGTGCAGCTTAGGGCGTGGACTAGGCCCCCACCATGTTCCCAATTCAGCAGGTGTGTGGTGGGGCCTAAGAATAACCATTCAGGCAGGGACCGACATGTGAGAGCCACTGCCCTGGGGGAACTGCCCATGGTGGAGGATGGCCCACCCAGCTCCAGGTTGTATCCAAGGCCAGAGCAAATTATGTGCTCCCCCTTCTTCAGCTGAAGCAGATGAACACTTCCAAAAATCACCTCCACCAGGAAATTAGGAATGCCATATGATTTAAAGATGTAAAAAGTCAAAGATCAAGCATCATCTGCATGTCCCCATTTGCTGCACAGACACCGAGCACCTGTCCTGCACTGCCCACTGCATAGGGTGGCAAAGCCCCAGAGCCCAGCTTCTGTCCAACACAGGGCCCCCTGGCTGTCCAAATTCACATTCCAAATCCAGCCCCTCTGTCACACTGGCCATATCCCAGTGCACAGGACCCACAGCAGCGGTTGGTGGCTGCTGTACTGGACAGCACAGATACAGGACATTCCCTCACCCCAGAAAGGTTTCTGTTGGGTGGCGCTCACCTCATGGGAATGATGACACTGAATATATTGTGAAAAATGAGCTGAATTAGCCCTGGAGTGCAGTCCCACCCAGCCTGGGCCTGAGAACCGAGGGAATGGGCAGGTTGGAGAAGCAGAGAGGGGGAGTACTACATTCTGTCCCAGAGCCTTAGTTCTTTTCCTTCAATTCTCGAGCTCTTGTGTGCACCCCTCTTCTTTGGTGCACTTGAGTGTAACTCAATGACACCAGAAGTGGCCTCTCCAGACCTGTGTTCTGCAGGCTGCCCTGCAGGATCACGTCCAGGGACTTCCTAACCTCCCCTGCCTCTGAGAGGCCATCTGACTCCTCCCACAGTAACAAAGCCCATACAGCCTGGCTTAACTAGGTATCCCAAACTCATGGACCATGCAGTACAGCAACCAGTGACATCTTTCTGGAGCTCACTTTGAGGAAAGTAGGACTAAACGTGTCTCCTATAGCTTTTTTCGAGTCTTGCCTTATTCAGTGGAAAGCCCTTTGCCAGAAAGTATTCTCAACTGGAGACAAAAGGCCCTTGTCTAGTCCCTCCTGGAAAGGCCGCAGCAGGCCTGGCAGCCTTGCCCTTCTCTTTACCCCAGGCAGCCCACGCCTCCTGCCAGCAGCAGGGCTGCCCCCTCACCGCACACACACAGCAGGCAAGGGAAGGGAGTGACGTGTTCTTTTATTGAAGCAAGTATGTCCAGTCACACCAAAACTGACATCCTACATTATGGTACAGCTTCATACTCCAGAGTTCATTTCAAATACCAAAACATCAAATCAGGATATGTATCAAATTGGGAAAATAAAGTGGCAGACATAGACACTGTTTCAAGTAGGTACTAGAACTGATCACCCGTGAAGTGCACGTGGATGTGTACAGAAACCATTCTAAGGCTGTATTCCAAATATATATTCTCAAGTTTTAAGCCTTTCTCATCTCAAAGACATAAACAAAGCAATATGTACTATCAATATACAATCTGTCTAGCTAGAACCTCGGAAAGTGCAAACACACTGTGACAATACAGTGGAACTATTCCTGTTCCACCCAGGGCCAGAGGCATGGGCAGCGGGCCCAGGGCCTCCTCCTCCCCAGGCCCAGCCTCTCCCAGTGTCCTCAGGCTCTCCCAGGAGCTTTGGGAATTGAGACCTGGCCTGTCCTCACTCAGGCTTCCCAATTGATCAAGGCCCCTGCAGAAGCTGGGAATGCAGAGGGACAAGGGTATAGAGTTCCTGTGAGGGAGATAGTCTGTGTGGATGGACTGCCCACTTTCTGAGGGACAGCTGTCCCGCACCATGGTAAGTAAGGCCCAGGGCTCACACCAGGAAGTCAGACATGGAAAAATGGAGTGTGCTCCTCCAGCTGGGTGTAGAAAACTCCTCCCAGCATTGGGCAGTTTTATCTGAATGGGCTCCAACAGTATGGTCTGGCAAATATTCTGTTTCCAATTCCAGTTAGGGGCGCTGCCCACTCAGGTGGGAGGAGGGCTATCGGCTGCCCTCCCCTCTGTAGGTGGGTTTCAAGACTAGCTCTAAATGTCACCACTCTGCAGTCACCCGTGTATTTTTCTTCATCACAGCTCAATGTGTCTTTCAGTTGCAGACCAGAAAACTGACCACTCCGCGCTTCCCTCCCTTACCTTATTTTAGATTTCCTCCTTTCTAAAATGTAGTTGAAGAATGATTTGCTGAACACACTGTCACAGAAAATATGCTGCCAGGTGCCCCCTGCCCCTCCCTGACCCCACAAATCCCTGAAAGGAAAATGAAAATGTAAACTTTGGATAGCCCGTACTCAAAGGCTTGCTTCCAGAAGCGTGCAGATGTGACCTCCCAGCCACCAGCCCTCCTGCAGAGCCTCGTGGCCCAAGCTCCTGAGGTCAGGTGCCCAGGTGGAGTGAGGCTCACTGCAGCCTGAACCATGGAGCAGGAAGACCAGACCCCAGTACCCTCTAAGGCACTAACCCCGACATCAGAGACACTGGCTGGAAAGGCGTCCTAGCAGGCAGGGCTCATGTTGGTTTTGGTTGGGTTTTTTTAAAATATTTTTTTCATAAGATGTTAATAATCAAAAGTAGAAAATAAAAATCTACATTTCATTAGAATAAGATGTTATCATGGATGCCATCTCCCATGATACTCTCCCCTACCCCTCCCCAAAGCAGGGCCCTGCCCTGTCATTTAAAATAAACAAAAAAACTTTGTAAGTGCCAAAGGCTGATGCGTGAAATAATTACCATTTTTTCTCATAAAAGTTATATACAAAATGGACCCCAACCAGTGAGGCCTCCTCATCTCAACCCACAGCAGTCAAGATTTAAACCCGGTTAGTACGCGTGCTTCCTCTGGTGTCGCAGCTGCATCCGCCTCAGGCTCTGTTGAGGAGGGTGGTCCTAGAGGGGGACAGGGGACAGGCAGCACAGCGGCCTGAGTCCAAACCATCCTCAGCCTCCCACCAAGCATGCCCGGCAGCCCTGCACCAGGGACGCAACAGTGCCCAGGCCCCCTTTCCAAGAGGGTGACCCTCATGCCCATGCTGAGTCCTCCCTTTTCCTCACAGACTCCCATGTCCCTGCATCTCCTACCTGAGGGTCTTCCAGCTGTCCTTTTCCATGTGGTTCTCGGGACCCTCACTTTCAAAGGAGGCAATGAAGAGAGCTGAGAAACAAGAAAGTCCCTCAGAGCCCGTGTCCCCATGCAGTGTCTGCCTGCACCCAGCTGTCCCTTCAGGGGTGCAGCCCAGAACAAGGGGACAGCAACCTCTGGCTGGGCTCTGACACAGTTTGCTGTGCAGGCTCTCGGGCTGCCTGTTGGGAACTCTGGGAAGGTTCCTTATGTTGCAGCACCTGCCCTAACCCCATGTGACCCTCTCCAATGGCCGCTGGAAACTATGCCTCTTGTCCTTCCCCTCTGTCCATCCCACGACCCACCCTCATGCACACTCATCCCTGCTAGCAGAGGCAGCCCTGTGTGGCATGGAGCAGCCAGCAAGCCACCTCCCAGGGCAACCCCAAAGGGCACAGGGCCTGGACAGTGAGTCAGGTGGGGAGGGAGGCATGCTGCATTGGGAGGCAGCCCTCACCTTCCTCACTGTAGATGGGTGCCGTGAGCAGATAACTCTGAATCTTCTTGTCCTTCTCGAAGGGACACTCTACCTGTGTCCATGTCATAAACTCATGGATCTGTCTGGATATCTCCCAAAATTTCTAAAGGAACAAAACCATCTGATGTTCATCTGTCACTTTAAGCTCCAAACCCTCAGTCAGGGCAGGGGACACAGGTTTTGGCCTTAGTCTCCTGCTCATTTCACTGGTCCCAGCGAGATGGGACAGTGGCCCTGCAGACCGAGTCTGTGGCCATGGTGGCACATCGTGCAGCCTCAGAGCCAGGAGGTGTCCTCCAAGGCCACTCTGTCCAGCCCTCCACGTGGGCCATCAGGCCAGCAGCAGGGTCTGTACCTCTATGTGTGGGGACCCAAAGAGGGCCCTACTGATGACTTCAGCCTGAGGCTCAGTCTGGTGTCATCAGTGCAGGCACCCCATCCATACCCAGCTCAGCAGCACCTGCCAGAATGTGTCATGATGTCCCTTCTCTGGGACCTTCAGAGGGATCCCAGCTCCTGCCCACCCCTCACCTGTATGAGGTGAGCATCCGGCAGCCCAGAGCCCCCTAAACCTTCCCTGCCACCTATGTCCTGTCCTCCTGCCCTCATGAGGTGCCCTCAGGCCCACTAGGCAGGCTCTTCACTTCCATCTGGAATTCTCTGCTGCCTCCTCCCTGCTCAAGTCCCTTCCTGCCTAAAGCACTCCTGACCCCCAATCCCACAGGGGTGTACAGGACTGTCTCCCTGGTGGGGCCAGGCTGGAACCACGGTCCTGGATAAATACAATTCCCTGTGACTCCAAGCTCTGCAACCAGGTCACCCAAAAGTACAGGGGGGCTCACTTCACACCTTGCAGTAAAATAGCACCCCTGATCCACCCTGAGGCTTTCAGTGTTGAAGGCCCTTGTGAACCTCAGGCAGGGCTCAGGAAACCCACAGACCCTGACCCAAGGCCACAGCCTGGCAGCTCCAGTAGCTCAGTTTCTGCTTCCCCTACCCTGTGCTGGGACCCCATGGAGCTGAGCTCACCTTGAAGTTAATGTGTCCATTGGGCAGGTGGTTGGTGTGGATTTTGTGCAGGAAGTAGATGTCCTTAACGAAGAGGTTGAACACAGGGATGACGATCTTCTCACGGCTGCTGTTGGCCATCTGGGACCTCTGCGTGGCCCCCTGCAGGGCTGTGCGGTAGTTGCAGAAGTTGCTGGATGGGTCCATGTGATGCTGTGGGCACAGGGAGGACCTGGTAAGCATCGCAGCCCCATGCCCCTCCGACCTGCTCAGGACACCCATCTGCAGAGCAGAAGGCAGTGGACAGGAAAGGCACCTGGCCCCTGGGCAGCCCCAGTGTTAGCGCAGGGGAGAGGACACCCACTTGGCTGAGCCCTGTCGCTGCCCTGCCTGCCAGGCCTGACCCTCGCCCTTCTTCCTTCAAGACTTCCCTTTGCTCCTCTACTTAGATCTACACCTCTCAGAACTGACTAGCTCCACAAGACACATGCTTTGCAAAAATGAACTCTGTGATCACACACATCTGAGGAAGGCTGCAGGTGACCCTGTCTGCCAGCCTCTGGGCCACCTAGACCAGCCAGGACCCAGAGACCAGACACTGACCAAGGAAAAGGCGGTGTCTTCCAAATGAACCCCACTCTTGTCAAACTCTTAGTTAACCGCTCTCCACTCTAAAACTCGCCTGAGGTGATGCCAGTTCTGCCGGAAGTAACAGAGGATGCCTTAAGTCCCTGCTGCTGGAGGATGGACACACCAGGCCAGCTCAGCCAGCACTGTAGGTGCTGATCCCAGGGAGAAGAGGGCAGCCCCCCACCCCCGCTGTCAGAGCCCCGTTCAGGTCCTTGAGGGACGAGATGGGCACAGCTCACAGCTGTGACGGGCTCACGTGACTACCTCCAAGACATCAAACTTGGCTGTCTTGACCTTGGACCAGGTTTTCTTCAGCCTCGCCACAGGACTGAGGTTCATGCCAGCTGCAGAGAACAGCAGGTAGGGTCAGGGCCAGGAGGCAGGCCATGCAACAGCCTCACCCTGGGTGCCCAGTCACTCACAGATGATGGCCATCATGGAGTTGAAGTTCCCGATGTTGAAGCACTCCCGAGCCACGTCAATGAAGAACTCCAACATGCGGGTCCGGTGCTTCTTCTTCACCACCTGGAAGGTGGCAGGTGACCTCAGCATGGCAATGCTAGTGGAGAGCAGGAGCTGGGGCCACCAGGCAGAGGAACGGAGGGGCAGGGAGGACCTTGGGACTTAGCTTCCAGCCGCCATGGGCTGGTCCAGGTCCACAGCTGCATCTAGGAGGCCCAGACACATGCCTGGCCTATACTCAGGCTCCTCAGCCATCAAAGGGAGGGTACCTTCTGCCCCAGGGGGCTGTGGGCCAGCAAAGCCCCACATGGGTGAGAAAAATGGTGCTGGGCACAGAGGGAACACTGCACGGACAGGGTATCTGTTGTCATTGAAGGAATCACTGTATGTCAGCATTGGGGACTACCAAGGCCCTGCCAATGCAACAGGAACTTGGTGCATTTACTCTTAAAATTCCATCACCTAACTTCTGGGGCAGGATCAGGGCCTCACTGGGTGTGGGCATGGCAGCCACCCCGCCATGTCTGCTATGGGCACTTACCCGGCACACTTCAGTGGCCACCAGCATGCTCAGGCAGTTGAACCAGTTGTCGTAGGCCTCCAGGCTATAGGTCTTGGTCAGGTCCCCTCGGCACTGGGAAAGACACAGCAGGTCATAGGGGGGCTGGAGGACCCTGACTGGAAAACTCAGTCCTGACAGCTGGCCCTGGTCCCCGGCCATGGCTCGGCTTGCCCTGCAGCAGCCCCGGTCATGCCTGCCGGCTCCTCACTGACCAGTGCAGGGCTGACAGGCCAGGCTGGCTCCCCAGCCCGAGTCTGTGCCCTCTCCCAGTGCCAGCATGGCCATCTAAGGCCTCTTGGAGCAGGTGCCAGGAGGGCCAGTGCCATGTCCATTGGGGCTCACGGCCCAGCGCTTCAGAGGCGCTCGGGGCGTGCTGAGTGAGGCCCATTCCCACCCTGCATGGGGCACGGGTGCCTGGCAAACAGGGCTGGCAGGGGTGCCGGAGTGTGCTGCGGGCCTTGGCCCACTCACCCTGTGGTTGTCCAAGGAGTCCATGTGGCTGACAATCTGCATCAAGTCCTCAGGGTGAATGCTGCTGACCCTGTCCTGGGGTGGGAGACAGCAAAGGGAAGGTGACAAGCCTCCCCTGGAGGAGAAGGGACAGTGCTGCATAGGAGTGGGAACAGGGACAGGAGGGCCTATCCAGGACACAGGCCCTTCACCTCTTCTCAGGTCAGTCCTCTATCCTGGGGCCACTGTGGTCCGCACTGCAGGACGACACTGCCCCAGCTCCTCCCATTCACGCAGCACTGCTGTGCTCTTGAGGACATGAGTGCCAGGCACAGAAGTGCCTGCCACTCAGACAGACACACCTGGCATGAAGCATAGCAGTCAGGGCTGGCAAGCGGGCTTCCAGATGGCTCAGTGTGACACAAAAAACTAGTTCACAGCAGGGACCTGCGGCGCTGTGCTGAAAGAGGCACTGTGGTCCCTCAGCCCCCACCCCCCAGGTAGGGCACAAGGCAGCACTGACCAGCTCAATGTGAGTCAGCTGCTGGGCCAGCACCAGGGGGTCGCAGCACACGCCCAGGATGTCCTTCTGGGCAGCAGGTGGCTTGGTCTTGAGGATGGGCCCCTTGTCTACAGCCGATGGCCGGAGCTTCTCTCGCAGTTCCTGGAGCTGGCTCCGGGCAGCCAGGGACAGCAGCAGGCTCTGTGTCATCTGGGCAATGGCCTTCTTCACTGTGCCATTCTCCTGTGGGGTCGAGGGCAATAAGGGTGCCAGCATGGGCTGGCAGCAAGGCCACCACCGCTATCTTGTTTCCAGGAATGTGCTTGACCAACATGAGCCCACAACCGCTATCCAAACCTGAGCCTTCAGGCCTTCAAGGACAAAGTGGGGCACAGTGTGGGCTCCTCTGAGGACTGCTGGGTGGGGGCATCTCAGTGGGCTGTCCTGCTGCAGGACAAGGGTAAGGGCAGAGACAGGCTCAGGGCTGAGCTTCTGGGTCTAAAAAGCATGACTTTTTCAAGGCAGCCCACTGAGCTGCTTCCTGCAGCAGGAGGGGCCCAAAGAACAGTTCAGGCATGGGAAAGGCTTCTGCCAAAGCCAGAGACCTCCACCCCCTGGGAAGGGGTGCCCTGGGGTCTCTGGCTCCTCCTGGAGCACTCCGGGTGAACAGGAGCTGCTAAGCACAAGGAATGCTTCCACTCTGGAGGCCCAGTTGGCCCCAGCATCTCCGGTTCCCTCTCCACCAAAGGGAAGGGTAAGCACATTTGAAAAATGGGAGGTTAATTTAAAGCCTTATCCCCACCTTCTCCTCACTAATCCAGGACAGGCAGCACCTTACAAACTCTCAGTAGGCTCCCACTCCAGGGACAGGACATCAAGGGCCAGGAGAGGGTCAAGGCAATGATCACCAGGCCTGAAACCAGGCCGCAAGATCCCTGCATGCAGTATCATGGGTGACCTTGGTCCACTGCTGGCCAGCTAAGCTGTCATCTTGGGGAAGGGAGGTTGAATGGGGCCACCCAGCAACCCTCCTGGGGGAGTAACATGAATGGGGACCACATACAGAGCTGTCCCCAAAGCCCCCACCTTCCTGAGGGCAGACCCCCCGCACACACCCAAGGACCATGGCCAGAGCCCAGGGAGCACTCACCTCATCGCACTGGGTGACACGGTGTGTGATGGCTTTCAGCTCGGCCATGGCCTTCTCATCCTGGAAGTCATAGGGGAAGGCCTCCGTCCACTCCTTCAGGAGCTGCACAATCTTGGCTGAGAAGGACTTCAGCTTGGCCTGGGGCATCAGGGGATACAGAGTGAGGCCCCACAAGCCAGAGTGGGGGACAAGCCATCATGGCAAATAGTGCAAGCGTCCCACACCCCCAGGACCCCCACCACACCCAGGGCCTGTGCTGGACACAGTCCCCAGCTGCATGCCACCTGCAGTTTGACCAAACCTGAACCGCAGACTCCTGTTTGGTTCATTCCCCATAAATCGGCTTTCTTTTTCACTTAAATAAATTATATTCAGAAAACCTACCCCATATCTAAGGTGACACAAAAAACTAGTTCCATTTGCTATAATTAGAAGTTACCTATAAAAAGAATACAGTAAAAAGAAACCGAAGCCAAGCCATCCAGTTAGAGGAGAGCTTCCGTCTGCCCCCTGCGGTTGAGAGCAGGGCGCCTGTGCTCCAAAGGGTGTGACCCCGAGGGGAGGCGACGCGCCCCCCGCGCTCCAGTCCACAGGCAAGCACGACCCCATCCAGCACAGGGCCCAGGGCGTGGGGACCAGCCCTTTTGGCCAAGATGACTCCGACCCTCTCGGAAGATGCCCACGCGGCCTCTGCCCCAGGGGGGAGGGAGAACTGTGCCCAACGCTGGGGAGCTGCCCCCCAACCTCCAACCCCCAAGAACGTCCCATGGGCCTGCGTACCGCAAGGCTCCACGCCAGCCTACCTAGCCCGCTGGACCCTGCCCCGGGGCCCCTGTACCACCCAGCCTTGCAGCCTCGCAGCTTTCTTTGCCCACGCCGCACCGCCTCCAAACTAGGGGATTCCGCCCACGCTCCCAGCCCGGGGGGGGCCCCCTCCCACCACGCCCCTAACCCAGACCCAACCCACAGCCTCATCCCAGACATCACCCCAGCCCGGCGTGGCGCCACGCCCCAACCCCAGCCCTGACCTCGCTCCCCGCCCCCTCGTCCCAGCCAGACCACGCCCAACCCCAGCCATGACCCCGCCCCCTTCCCCAACTTGGACCACGCCCCACAGCCCACCCAACCCGCCACCCTCCCCATCCCGTAGCCCTGACCCAGCCTCACAGCCCCAGCCAGGCCACGCCCAACTTAGCCCTGACCCCGTCCCAGGCTCCACCCTGGATCCCACCCCTAGCCCCCCTACCACCACCACCCCACCCCACCCCGGCCCTCACCCCGCCCCGCAGCCCCAGCCAGGCCAAGTCCCAACCCTAGCCCGACCCCGACCCCAGCCCCCGCCCATGCCCCAGCCACGTCCCGTCTCACTTTTTCAGGCCCGGCCTCCAGCTGCTGCCTCTGCTCTACGCAGATCTGCCCCACGCGTGCCAGCAGGTCATGAGGGGGCATGAAGACCCGGGAGCTCAGGAGAAAGGTGAAGATGTATGTCCTCTGAAGGCAGGAGACAGAGAGAGGGCGGAGGGCCGGTCAGGCTCGGCAGAGGCGGCACCCCGGGGGCTCACCGCCACTTCACCTGTCCCGACTGCTTCCCAAGCCCAGCACCGCCCGTCCGGCGGCCATGCTTTCGCCTGCCAGGTTCCCTTCGCCTTGCAGGCCCTTCCTCCTCTTACTGCTACCCCGGCCCTGCCCACCTAGGAGGCACAGCTCGAGCCTGCCTCCCAGCAGCTCTCGAGGGCTCCTAGCAGCCTTCTCAGCTGGGATTCTCCGCACCCTCTGCCCCACTCCACCATAGGGCTAACCCCAGCCTGGGACATTGGTGGGGCTCTGTGGGCTGGTGTGGGCCTGCTGCCTGGCCCATGGTGCTCGCTGCGCCAGGATTTAAGCCAGCTGCTTCTCCAGATCTCATGAGCTGGGCCAGAGGTCAGAGGTGAGTAGGGTGGGGTGCAGGGGGGCTGGCACAGGAGCGGGGCCTGTTAGGAACAGGGTTCGTTCATGGGGTGAGCCCTCATCAGCAGGGGCATGGCCTGAGGGGCAATGTTGGTTGGGGCCCCTAAACTGTCTGACCAACTCTGAGCCCAGACCCTGACTGCCAGAGCAGAGCTCCATACCACATCCACATCCACATCCCCGTGCCCTCCACTGAGATCCTCATGGGCTGGGTTCTTGGGCCTTTTGTCTAATGAGGGTCAGTGTCTGTGGGAACTTCACTCTGGCTCCTGCTTGTGGACAGGGTGGACTTGCAGGTGAGGAAGACTGCCTGGGGCTCTCTAGAGGTATTCTGCCTCATGTGGCTGCCGCAGGCTGGGATCTCCAGGAGCCTCTACCCCTACTCCCTCCCAAATAACATGGTTTTTCTTGCCCCAGCCAGAAGCAAACCAGACTGCATTTGCTGGGAGTGCAGGCCTCCTGGAGCAGGACTCAGGGGCCTGGGCTAGCACTGCCCACCGCAGCCCTCCCTGGAGTACTGGGGACTCCTCTAACATCCTGCAAACTTCTCATGCCCTGCCCCAAGCTGTGCACCATGGAGACTTGAGGGTCAGAGCCAGCACATCTCTCAGGGTCCCCTTCGAAGGAGACAACTCGGACATGGAGGAAAAGTCCGCCATGGAACTCTTAGCCAAGGGCAGGGCACCCAAGGGGAGCCTGTGCATCTCCAGGAAGGAGCACAGTGACTGTGTGTACGTGTTTGTGGGCGTGTGTGAGTGTGTTCCACTACCTGTGCACATGGGGATGGGTGGGGTGGCAGGGAGGAGCTGATGCCCAACTGGACTCTCCTGCCCCTGCCATCCCTCTGTCCTCTCCTGGGAAGCAGACACAAATGTGGTCCCAGGGCACAGGCAGCTCCTCTGGGGTAGGCCTCTGAGAGGGGCGGCCTCTCCAGCTTCGGCCTGAGGCCCCTGCCCCACAGATAGCCCTGCCCTGGACTCCTTCAGGGCCTTGGGCCCCTCCCCTGTCTCTCCCCCATGGGCACTCAGCAGCCTGTCTGCACTGCCCCAGACAAACCCTGACAGGGCTTACAGGATGGACAGAAGGACAGATGGAGGAGGAGGAGGAGTGGGCAACACAAAGGCAAGGCCCCCCACAAAGCCCAGGAAGGCGGAGGAGGCCTGGCAGGTGGTGAAGCGGGCTGACTGCAGCCCTGTTCAGTGGAAGCTGGAGGGTGGCGTCACTCCCAACCACGTCCCTACAAGCTGTCTGCCTCCCCGGCTGACAAGCAGGGCAGGGAGGGAGAGGGGGTAGCATGATGCAGGCAGGACAAGCCCTCCCAGAGGGTGGATGCTCGGCTCACAAGAGGGAGCTGGCAGGCCCAGTGCTACTGCTGCTAAGAGACATCACCCTCAGTGGGAGGGAAGCCACACTTGACAAGGGAACGCTTTCTCTGTTCCAAGAATGTACCATGCCACCTTGAGGTGAAAGGGAGAATTTGGATTATTGCCTAAGGACAGTCCCTGAGGCAGCCTGAACAGTGTCCTGCTGACAGGGCAGGGCAGGGCAGGCCATCTCCTCTTCATTCTGGACCACCAGGGTTTATGTACAAATCAGCTTCCCAGCTCAGCCCTGGGCTCTAGGACCTTGGCTGGCCGTGCCCTCGCCAGGAGTTTGCCCTTTAAAACTCCTCTTCCTCCTGGAGGCCCTGCTCAAAACTCAGGGCCCTGCTCAGCCCTTGTGTATTTCTGCTTCCTGTGTCCCCAGGATCATCTCCTCCTGTCTGGAGCAGCAGCAGGGAAGTCATAACAGGTTTCCCCAGGTCCCCTGCTCAGCTGGAGGTATATGCAGAGCAGAAGGCAGAGAAGGCCCTGGAGGTGGGCCTGGGCCCCCCACTGCAGCCCTGTCCAGCTCCACTGCTCAATGGGGGCCTCCCTCCCATACCCGACATCTCCTAGAGCCCAGGTCACCCCACTAGATTCACCCCACAAGGGCCCAGGCACTCACATCAGGGTAATAGTCCACCGTGGGAACAAGGTGCTCCATCAGGGCCTCCAGGGACCCCGAGATGAGGCGTCCATCTTGGAAGATGAGGTCCCCAGAGCCGCCGCCGGCCCCGCCTCCACGCTCCCCCATGCCAGGCTGCACCTGTCCGCTACAGCTGGGCACAAGTATGCTGGAGAAGACGACAGATGTCTGGGGCATAGTTTCCTGGTAGAGAGGAGCAAGGGCATGAGGCATCAAAGGCGCTTCCACAGCTCCCCAGACCCTCCTCCCAAGCAGCCTGCAGCCTGTGTGCATGTGGGCAGGAGTGTGTGGTGGGGGCGCAGCAACATTGGCAGGGGACATCCCCATCCGGGGCAGTCAGGCTCCTCAGTGTCCCCCAGCCGCTGCACATCTAATCACTGTGTCTTCAGCTCCCTGCAGTCCAGGCCTCATTCCAGGGTCCTGGACACTCAGAGCCATCAGAGAAGAGAAACTCTGGAAAAAACATCCGAGGAGGGACAGGAAACCTGTGGTGGGCAGTCAGAGCCGCCTGGGGCAAGAGAGCTATGAACAACGGATAGGGCTGGCCATGCAGCTTCCAGGATAAGAAAGGAACACTCTGGGCATGAGGGACAGTGAGTGCCGAGGTCCTGACCCAGAGTTGTGTGCAGCTGGGAGCAGGGAGGACAGTCTAAAAACAGGGCTGGCCCCACGGACCACACGTGCTGCTTCCCTGAGGTGGAAGCCTGGGACTCTGAGCACAGTGGTCTGACTTGTGGTGGCTGCTGCAGACGAGGGAGCTGCAGGGGAGGTGTCTGGAAGCCAATGGTGGGCCTTGCCACAGCCCAGGGAGAGCGTGCCCGGGCAGGCGAGCAGGGCCACTCCAAACGGTGAAGGTGTTGGGCCGAGCGGCTGACAGCACAAGGCAGGGCATGTGGGCGAGGCTGGGGAGAAATCTGGAACTGGCTTTGAGGCTTGCAAGTCTGAGTGCCCCTGAGATGCACATGTCTGAGCAGCCGGGCCTCCTGATGGGCTCGGTGCCCACTGTCTCTCGTGGCATGGCCCACTGTGATGGGGCGCAGGGTCTCACCTCACCCTGCCCCTGAGAGTTCTTGTGAAGCCCAAGGGAGTCTGAAGCCCTCTGGGCCTGTTTTCCCATTGCCCCAGCCAGCCAGCCATGCCTGAGAGGAGCCAAGAGAGGACTGGGAGATGCAACATTTGCCAGCCTAAGAGCTAGTGGTGGCCTGCCCATGGCCTTGGCCACACATAGGGCCAGCCTCACCCTCCTGGCCCTCAAGGGCAGGCAGCACAGGTGCCAGTGACTGAAGTCAGGTGGAGGAGCCCCCCCACCTGGGGAAGGGCTTCCTCCTCATGCCCAAGAGGTCATTATCCAGGAAGTAGTGGGAAGTGTATCCATGCCCTCCTCAGACAAGCTGCAGGTGCTCAGCACGGACCTTTGGGACAGAACAAGCCTCTGAGTCATGTTTCCCTACTGCAAAGAGCAAATGGTAGCCATGATTACTTCAGTGCCACAACAGGACCATGGGCCACTGCCCTGTAGGAGCCTTACAAGCAGAGAACTGACCACTCCCCCCCAACCCACCCCCACACACGGCATATCCCTGTCGCTCCTACCAAGGAAAAAGGGCATCTGGCTCAGACGACACTGGTTCTCCCACCACATGCCTAAAGGTTTCCTTGGAATTCTTAGAAAATCCTTGGCAAGGGAGCAAGAACATAACCAAAGGCCCCATGATGGGACTAGGTGGGATGTCCAGGCCCCCAGGCTTGGTGCTGCCCCCACTGCAGGGCAGGGAGGTCATGGTTCAGACTCACACAATGCTCCCCTCAAACTCAGGCCAGTTGCGGTGTTTCACACAAATTAGAATGCACATTCTCAGGTCTAGCCCTGGACCTGCTCATCAGAAACTCAGGGGTGGGCTGTTTCTGTATTCCAACCTGCCCTCCATTCCAGCCCAAGAACCAGTGATGTGAGCCAATCCTTCATTTTTCAAAAGGTAAAACTGAGGCCCAGTGGGAAGGAACTCAACTAAGGGAACCCCAGGAGTTCCAAGTCCAACCCAGGTGTCACCACCTCCAGGAAGCCTCCCTGGGTTTAACCTAGACTATTGACCCATGAAGCCAGAAGTGGCTGTATCATTCACCTGTCTGTCCTATTGCTGGCCCAGGGTGGCACTCAATGACCATCTGTGCAATGAAATCACAAAGGCAGGCTCACAGACCCTTTGTTGCCCACAGCTGCTCAGCCTGGCCCAGGCATCTTACCTGAGGCCAATGCACGGCAGGACAACTTCCCCACGATCACACAATTCTGGGTTCAAAAGGTGACCAGCAGGTGGTAATCTTGATCAGTTGGGCCTCCCCACCCCAAGCTCTTGGGGTCATCAGAGAGGGCATTTGCCAAGCCACTGGCCTCTCCCGCTGCAGGCTGCTCTGGTCAGGACGTACTAGTTGGGGGGGATGCACTCTGATACCCCACAAACTCAGCCCCTGCTGATCCCCCACAGGGCAAGGCCACCCCATGTCCAGCCTGCCAAGAGACCTGCCTCAGTGCTGGGAGGCCTGCCTAGGAGCTGAGGAGCCAGCCTGGGGACGCAGCCCACTGGTCAGCAGCCAGAGAGGGGCCCGGAAGGCCACAAGGGAGCTGGTCACCTTCGAGGGTGGGCCTGAAGGGGTTGCATGCAGGGTGTCCCAGGCAAGCAGGGGATCCATGCAAGCTCAGAATCCCTTCAGGGACTCAGCAGAGCCTGATGGGGGCCGTGTAGAGCCACACTGACCTGAGAGGTGGGGTGCCCTGGGTTCCTCCTGTCCTGCCTACCTGAAGACTCACCCAGAAACGCAGCCCAGGGCTAGGTCTCCCCCATCCCACAAACCAAGACCCTGCAGGTCTGGTGGATGCCCCAAGAGCCCCTACTCCCGAAAGCTCAAGCCTAGCAGGGCCCACCCTGCCTAGCCACAAAGCACTTCAAGAAGGGTCTCCAAGGCTCAGTGCCAAGTGGACAGGCAGGTTCTCCAAATGGCTGCTCCTGAGCAGGAATCCCGCCCCTGAAGCAGGCACGGTCCTTGTTCCTGGGTGCATCTGGCCAGCCCTCAACCTTCCCAGCTGTGAAATGATGGTGATGACAGCACTCCCCCTGCAGGGCCCCCTGCCAGCCACCCCCACATGGCCCTGAGGTCCCTTGCTCTTGCACCCTGTGTCCTCCTCATCCCCAACAGCAGAGGCAGGCACTTTGACGTGCAGCTGCACACCTGTGTGTCCGAAAAGTTGTGTCCACCCCCAGGTGGCCCTTCCCAGGGAAGAGCTGCACACTGGGCCATTGGCTCCAGTCGCAGCAGTAGCGATCATGGTACAGCGATGTCCAGGGTGCTGAACACTGAGAATGGCAAGGTTAGAGTTGAAGAATCCCAGTTACTCCTCCCAGTCACCCCTGTGCTCCCAGAGAACCCGTTATTTCTGTAGGAAGATAAGGGCTGAGTAACCGCCCCAGGTCACCGGCAGAGGGCAGCAGAGGCCGGCAGGGAGCCTGAGTCTGAGCCTGGCTCCACCACTTAGCGTGGCTTTGTCAAGATCATCAAACTGGTGGAGCCTTAATTTCCTTGTCTGTAAAATGGGCACGTGGAGCACTACTTCAGAGGGTTGCATGGAGGATCAGATGAGCCCCTGGGTAAGGTGCTGGGCACATGATGCCTCCTCACCCCCAGGAGCTGATTCCCACCACCATGATTGCTCAGTGCCCCTACAGCCCACACAGAAGGCACCGATTAACTCTAGACACACTGGCCCTATGTGTGTGGGCACTGTGGAGAGCTCAGGAAGCCCCCCAGTGGTTGGGCAGAGGCAGGGCTGGGGCGGGCCAGCTTGCTCAATCAGCATTTGTGGGAAGCCTCACTTCCACCCGAAGTCCAGCTGGGCCTGGCCTGCACAGAGCAGGCCACCCTGACCCCAAACAGCCAGACCCTGCGGGGATGCTCTAAGGCCAGGTGTGGTTCCCCGGAGCAGCAGCAGCACTTTCTCCTGAGCCAGAAACTGGTAGGAGTGGGCCCAGCACTCCGCCTCCAGGTAGCTCACTGCACTCACCTCTAGACCCTTCCCTACAGCCTCCAGACTCCAAGTGTCACTGGACCTGCAGCTACAGCATGACCTGTCGATCGTCAAAGTGCACATCTCAAGTTCCAGGCCAGGCCTGCTGGGTCACATCTGCTGCTGAGCAAGACACCAGGTGATTCACCTGCAGGTGAATGGAAGGCCCAGGAAGCCTGCCAGTGAGAGCCTCAGCCTCCAGGTAAGCTGCACCCGCTAACCCAGGACAGGGGTCAGGTACAGTGGCTCATGCCTGTAATCCCAGCATTTTGGGAGGCCGAGGTGGGTAGATCGCTTAAACTCAGGAGTTGGAGACCAGCCTGGGTAACATAGAGACCCCTGTTTCTACTAAAATTAAAAAAAAAATACCCAGGTGTGGTGGCACATGCCTGTGGTTCCATTTACTCAGGGAGCCTGAAGCAGGAGGATTGCTTGAGCCCAGGAGGTTGAGGCTACAGTGATCTGTAATCATGTCACTGCACTCCAGCCTGGGCAACAGAGCCAGACCCTGCTTTAATCAACTGATCAATAAACAAACCAGGGCAGGTCCTCACCTATAGTACGTGCACACCCAGCACCACCTGGGGACTTTTCATTCAAAGACACCATGCTGGACCCCTACCCCAACAATTCTGATTTAACTAGTCTTGGGGGCAGGAGAGACCCTGGAATCTTCCACAGAATTCCAGGAAGCACAAGGAGCCTGTCTCCTGCCTCGGCTGCTCCTGGCTACACCAAACCCATCTCGAGGCAGCAGACCCTATGGAGGGTTCAGGAAGCCCCCCCGCCAGGATGTAGGCGCAGATGGGGCCAGGGCCAGCCAGTGTGCTGGACCAGCATTTGTGGGAACCCTCACCTCCACCCCAGGTCCAGCAGCAGCCCCTTGCAGGGAGTGGGATACAGGCTTGCACCCAGTAGCCCCTCTGGCGCCCTGCAGCCCCACCTCTGTTCAGGCAGGAAGGAAAGTGCCTCCTAATTATAGAGCTAATCAACGCAGAAGAAACGTGCTCACGGAGAGGCGGGGGAAAGTGACTCACTGTCTCCTTGAGGACGTGCGTCACTCCCTTCTCACCTCCCATGCAGGCCAGTGGGCACCAGGGCAGGACCAGGGGCCCAGCCTGCT